GACTCCAAAGGACATGTTTTTAGTTGCTAAAGAAAATTTTAAAAACATCAGTTATTGCATATTCTTGTCTAAGTGCCTTTGAACTTTCTGAATTTTTTCAAATAATGTCTTGTATCCTATATCATTATGGACTTTTAATTGAAATAAAGAAAATAGCTTATATCATTTTTAGTTTTAAAAGTCAATCCTATAAAACAAACTTTTTGCTATAAAAGTATCTTATAAGGAAATTTTTAGAGAAAATAGTACTTTAAAATAAGAGCTTACTAAATGCATTTTAAAAACTATATACTTGGTTTATAAGATTTATGTTAAAATTTATTTTTAGATTTCTCTATATTTCTTGCTAAACGATTTGAGAATGCTCCTGCTATTAAAGGAACCCGCTCATATTATGGTTTCTCATCTCTATCCTGTTGTTTAAAAGCTTACGTAACATCAATGAGCACAAGATTTGACATTTTTTACATGCTGGTTGATACTTGGATTAACACTCAAAAGTCAGTAAATGTTCTCATCATTATTGCTGATTGGGTAGCACATTATTTTAATGAATTTTTTCCTGGAAAGGTAATAGATATTAAAAGCAACTAATTATCTGTCAGCTTTTTACATAAAGCTGGCAGTTATTTCAAATATCCAAAAATACCAGATACTCATCGGTATCCAGTTAGTGATATTATTGCCACATTACATGAGCCTAAGCTCCAAAACACAAGGTTTTACTCCTATCTAATAAAAAAAAAAGATTAGATAGATTATACTATATTTATTGTTTTGAATTAGCAACTAATTATCAATTAAAAAGCAAAAGCTAAACCTAATAATTTAAGTGGTTTCTAACAAGTTTCAACTTTATCCTTTATTAATCATTATTTATTTTTATTATAGAAGTTATTATATTTTTTAGCCCCCTGATGTATCATGAATATCCCCTTGATATATTATGAAAATCTTATAAAAATTGTTCAACATTAATTATGTAAAACAACAAAGGTTTTTGACTTTGAGATATAACACTCCTTAATTGTGTAAATTATGTTTAAAGTATCACTATTTACAAATATTATCGAGTTTTAGTTAGTTATTGCCCCTTTTTTTGTGCCCCTACCCAGGCTAAAATAGTCTGTAAAGGCTTTAAAGTAGTCTGTTTTTACAATTCTTAAATCTAGGGGGGGGGCCACTGTGCAGTGTTTATAAAGCTATATTTTCTGAACCGTTGCACTTGGAAGCCTGAAATTTTAAATTTAACCTATCTACATGATGTAGATAATGATATATAAAAATCAGCAAAATCTGAGAGGATGTCCCACAAAGTTTACTCAAAATTGGTTGAAATATAATGATTTGACCCTACTATTTTCTTATTTAAATTTGAAAATTTTAAGTCTATAAAATAAGAAGTACAAATTTTACAAAAAGAATTTAATTTATTAGATAATTGGTTGAAAGATTTGACCCAGTAATGATTATAGATAAAAACTGAAAATTGTGTAACATTATTGATTTTTAGACTTGTATTGGTCAACTTCGGTAGTTTTTCAACTTTGATTTTTGAAAGACTTTTATAATAATAAATACAACATAAATTGAAAAACACCAAATAAAATACACTTTTTTAACACCCGTTATGGTACTTAGACAACTTAAGTTACTATTTGTCTCAAACTATTTGCATAAAATAAAAACAGAAGTTATCAAATGCAAAATATAACAAGATGACTTTTTTATACACAACTGAATTCTCAAAACCTAGCAAGTTAAATAAAATCAACAGAATTGTTTTCTAATTAAAAAATATTTATTGATTTTGTAAAATATACCTAATAAATATTGTTTATAAAAGATAACTATTAGTAAAAATATCATTAAAAAAAAGTCGCAGCAACAAATACATTAGATAAATTAGAACTTTACAGAGATAAAACTAGAAGGTTACATTATTCAAATAAATTCAGATAATAAAATGACCAACCTCTTCTTTTTATGACTTTTTATGTAGGAGAGCACAATAAAAATCTTATTTTAAATTAACTCTTACAGAGCTATTTATTAGAAAGAAGAAATTGTCCATAAAAAAATAATTTATAAATTCTTATAATGGTTTATATAAGCATTTTATTGATGTACATACATCTTTTATTAAGGTGTACATACATCTTTTATTAATGACTATGCCATATGACAAAAACTTTGTTTTTACTCAAAAATGTTGTCATCAATTATATTGATGACAACATTTTTGAGTAAGAACAAAAGCCTGTATTGACTTATAGGTGCTTGTCATTTTAATCCTATGCTTACAAACTTTAACTTACTTTCTTGATAAAGTCTGAGTAAACACATATTTTAGTAGGAAATCAACTTGGACTAGGGCAGTGACATTCCTCATAAATTTGTACATGTATTATGTACCATGAAACATACAGTTGACTCTCGACTTCTCGACTGAGAAGTTCAAGATATCAAGAGTCAACTGTACAATCTATTAAAAATAGAACTATGAAATAAATTTTTAATTAGAAAATTAAAAATATATATTCAAAGTAACACTATTATTGCATATTTCTCACATTTCTCTTTTTTCTTGTCTCACAACAACTTAAATGGTTTTAAATCAAGCAACTGACCAACCCATTCTATATTTTTTAGCTCTTTTTTAGCCGCAAAATATTTTTGGCAGAATTTAGAAATGTGTTTTGAATAGTTATCCTGTTAAAAAAAATCTGCAACCCACAATTCTTTTTTTCGTACAGAAATACATGTTATGGAAAATGTGGTGGTATTTTATTTTATCCATAATTCCCTCAATTTGCACAGTCACTAACTTTGTTTTCAGCAAGGCATTCTCAGAGAATGACTGACCCTCAACTATTTTGACTGTTGGGATCATGCATTGTTTCATCATTGGTTCTCAAACTAACCGAAAAACAACTGTCAACACTTTTCTTTAAAAATTTCAAACTTAGATTCGTCTGAGGACAAAACTTTTGTTGTAGTGACCAATCTTTATGTATTTTTGCACATCTCAATCTTTTAAATTCTATTTAGTTTTGATAGTAAAGAAGAAATTGTTTTATGGTTGAAAAAATATATATATATATAAATTTTTTTTTGAGGGGATTTAATAGTTAAATTTTTTTAATGCAAAAAAAGCTTTCTCTAAATTTGATTTTTAATTTTCTCAAAAGTCTACATTGACATTGTATAATCAGTCCTTGGAATTAAAAAAAAATGAGGTCAACAATAAATTGCTGGCCTTAAATTCTTAGGGTAGGCAAGAAAAATTTGACACAAAAAGATCACCATAAAACATAGAAAAGAGGCCGGAAATAAATTGCAGACCTCAAATACTTTTAGGTCTGCAGGTAATTTAGGAGTCGAGTGCTGACCCTAATTCTGAGAGTTGCATAGTAAAACTCTTAGAAGTTAAATGTACTGAAGCAAATGTCTGTAAACTGCTACTGCAAAGGTGCGTATAATATAAAGACTTCCAGATCAGACAAAAATAGGAAGATCAAACTTCAACTATAATACCAAGATTTTTTCTTGGTATAAATTTATTTATAACATAAAAATTTTTTCACAACATGTGTTGCATGATGTTTTAATCATTTTTTTATAAAAATGATCAAGAAGCATAGTATAGTTTAAATAAACTTGAAATATTTCAAATTGTTTGATAAAATGATGTTTTGGTTAATTGTTTATAACTTAAAATTTAAGAAATTAAGGTTTGCTGTCTTTTCTGTGTGACAGTTTAAATGAACAATATAACAGATAATAAAAATAAGGATAAAATAAACCCTTTTTTATTGTTATTTATTATATTTTTGCCCTCAAATATTATTTAACCAGGGCCAAAGTTGAGGTTGTAAAAAACTTTGTACTTAGCCAGGTCTTTGGTCACTTGCTCTTCAAAAAATAATAAATTTATGTAAAATTTACACAATGAATTTATAAAACTTATTTAATGATAAAAATTATATTCAGAGGGTTAAGCTTGAAAGCTAGAGCAGGCAAAATGACATTTGCAATGCGTTTATGGACTAAAAGAGAAAATCTATTATTTGAAAAAACAGCCAAGATACTAAAATAAAAATTTATAGGTGATAGAATCAGAAGTAAAAAAATTACAAGCATAATAAAGAAAGGAATCTAACCAGATGGTAACAATAAATTTCTTTTTTCTGAAAAAAGTAAAGTGCATTAATTAATAATTTTATATTATATTACTAGAGTAAAAAAAAAGTCTTATAAGGCAAAGACAAATATGTAATAGTCAGCAGCTCCACTGGATTTTTTTTGTTAACATATTTATATGGCATTGAAATAAAATAAGTAAACATCAAAAATCAAGCACAAAATTAAAAAAACAATGTGCAAAAGAAAAAATCATAATATACATAACTTCTCCTCAAAAATCTTTAGTACCATTTATTCAAGAAAACATCAATAAATACTTAATTTGAATAGAGAAGCAATAATTGCTAATTTCATAAGGCAATTAAAACAATTTTTTTTTAAATAAAATGACCTCAAAGTTTTTAAACGTTGAAAATTAACAAACTATGTATAAATGTTAAAAAAGTTCCCCATTCCATTAGATTCTGTATTCCTTTTTTAAACTATATGGAAATTTTCAAATTAATTTGACGAGTTTTGGTACTTTGGAATCCTTACCTTCAAAAACTTCTTTTGTAAAAACATTCCAGCTGCAAGTTTTTTTTATTAATAGTGGACTTAAGACATAAACAATTTATAAGTGAAGCCATATAAAACTTAGTACTTTTTATACATGGTTGAAAAGAAGTTGAGTTAACTAATTCGATCCTTGAGGTTTAATTAGTTGAACTAATTAAACAACAAACACTTTTTGTTGCACTTTGGAATCTCTATAAAAGTGCATCAAACCTTTTTGATAATTAAGAGAAAAACTTTGTATACTTTACAATATTTTATTTTAGCTAAATATATTCAAACAATGTTTAAAAACCTACCTCTCCAACCATTTGTCTTTAAAGTGACACAGTATGGTGGAAGTATAATTTCTTGTATTGCACCAAATGTGCACTCAACATCCATTTTAGCATAACACTGACCTTCATGAACAGTTTTATGACACCAAATGCATCTGTAGTCACATAACCTTGGTTCAACACCACATGATTGATTACAAACTGAACACACGCTGCAAAGAGTTAAATTACCTTTAATCCAGTGGTGTCGCATGAACATTTTTGATTTTGACAAACTTGTTACCTTGCAAGCTAATTTTTTATTGCCATCAACTTCACATTCGTCATGAACCGAAATCCAACAAACATCGCAAAAAACACCTCTAACTAGGGAGAACTCACAAATATTACAAAAGGTTGGCTTGCTTAAAAAGTCTGAATGAACCCAATGATGACCTTTTCCTGAGTCACGAACATGAAACTCTTTATGGCGATTTTTACGTCGACTTGAAAGCTTGGTTATAATAACGCATAACAATATGAAAAATATAGAAAACAATATTATTTGCTTTGGCTGTTCCAACCATACCAGAAAAGTAACAACATCGTCAGTTAGCTTCATGCTTAGCAAATTTCTTATTACATATTTTCAACCCTAAGTAATATACACACAGTAATCTTGTTTTATACTTTCACATATAGCATTATTCATTTCTTTCTTTTCACTTTTATTTAAAAAAATTATTATTATTCACTCTCAATTGGCGCATAAATTAATTAATAAATTACCGGGAAAACAAAATCTCACAACCGTTACCGATCTTCACTTTAAACTTTGACCCCCCTCCTTTTTTTTTTTTTTTTGGGAGGTTTCAAATAAAAATAAGGTCATAATTTTTCAACGCTAAGAGAAAAATATTATACAAATTTTAAAATTTATCGAATAGTATAAATTTAGTTAGGAATATTAGTAAAAATACTATTTTAACAAGTTGTTTCTCTCACGTTTGGGACAATTGTAGCCAAAATTTTGGGTTTTTTTTGTTCTCAGGCTCTAATCATCGCATTTTCCCCCACCCCTTTCTTTCTTTCATACTTTTTTTCTCATCCCCTTTCCCCTAAAACCCCACTCCTTCCCTCTTATCTTTTTCCTGGGCCCTTTTTATTTTTTGGCGGGGGGGGGGGGCAAAATTATTGTTACACCGCTAGCATTATGTCTTGAGTAATATCTATTTAAAATAACGAAACAACTTCGGTAATATTAAAGTTTTTTATTTCACTGTAAACTTAACATTAGAGAAAAATAAAAGAAAGTGAAAGTGGTGTGACTTACGGTGTAGTTTGCTAAAAACTACCAAGTGATGAAACTATATATATATATATTATATATATATATATATTATATATATATATATATATATATATATATATATATATATATATATATATATATATATATATATATATATATATATATATATATATATATATATATATATATATATATATATATATATATATATATATATATATATATATATATATATATATATATATATATATATATATATATATATATATATATATATATATATATATATAATATATATATATATATATATATATATATATATATATATATATATATATATATATATATATATATATATATATATATATATATATATATATATATATATATATATATATATATATATATATATATATATATATATATATATATAAAGAAACACAGTACTAAAAAGTTAAAATACTTAAAAAAGAAATTGAATGCTGGAGACGAATCTATTTAAGAAATACGGCAAAAAAAAAAAAATGCGGTGCACTCTTTAAACATTTTTAATTGTATTTTTTCATAAATTTAATCATAAAGCAAAGTTAGCATCTTTTATTATTTATTCCTTATGTTCTTCAGTGTTAAGTCGGCTTTCTTTTCTTTTGGCATCAGAAAATTTTCTCTTATGTTTTTTTTTTTTTTTTTTTTTTTTTTTTTTTTTTTTTTTTTTTTTTTTTTTTTTTGTAATTAAGACAAACAATTGAGTTATAGTTAGAATAAAGTTTTTAAAATGTTGAATTTTTTATATCATTTTTTATGTCTATCGTTAAAAATTATTCTAATTTGATGAAATATAAAAGTTTAATTATTTACTAAAAGCTATTAGAAAATTATTTAAATCAATGCATCCTAAAATAGATTTAAAAAAAGTTATTTAATGTTGATTTATATCAACGTTTTATTTCTATTAGAAAAAGCAAACTATTATATATGAATTATTTATAATTGTTAAAAAAAAAAGTCAAACAAAACCTTAAAAAAAAAACGTTTAGTTTTACGCATGAACATTTGTTTTTATTCAGTTTTGGTTGCTATAAATGACCGCCATTTAGATACACAAAGAATAATTATTATATTAATAAAATATTCCATAAGTATTTTGAGTTTAAAAAAAAAACATGAAAATTAAAAGTTAGCAGAAGCCCCAATGATCCACCCGATTGTTATAGGACAATATAAACTTGAAGCACACTTTTGCATTTATCTTTGATACCAAATCATTGATATTTAGAAAAAAACTAAAATATGATTAGAAAAACAGAATTTTGACCAGAGTTTCTTCAACGAATCCAAAATATAACCGAAAACTTGTTACTTTAAAACGTAACTTTTGTTTAAATTGTTTAGTATTGATTATTTTTTCATTTTTAAAATACTGATTTAATACCCTCTCAAAGAAACCATTCCAAACTAGCATTTTTGGAAGCAGCTAAATAAATCTTTGTAACTCTTTGAAAACAGCTAGAACAATTGTTTTACTCTTCATTAAAAAAAATCAAGCTTTGCTTTAATTAGTAACAAGGTAATGAAAATACTAGTTATTTTAAAAAACTAATATAAATCATATAAAGATGCTTTGATTCCAGAAAATTTAGAATGTAGAGGTCATAGTCTAAAACGAACAGATATTAGTATCACCAATTAAAAAATTAATTTTTAAATGAGATAATACAATAGCAAAAAAATTGATGAAAAAACAGGCATATAAAACCACCAAAACAATTAAGAATTTATTTAGAAAAGCAATTAGAAAAAGTACCACAAATCTCTTAGAGATGTATTTCTTGCTCATCATAAATCTAAACTACTGTACTTGCGTTTTCTACTGAAAAAAAAATCGTCAATAGCTCCTTTTTTTCCCCACGTCTTCAACACAAAGAAAGTTTTCTTTTACCTTGCAGTTACTTTTTGTTTTTGTTTGCTGAAATTGAAGTGCACAAAGGGAGGAATAAAAATCATCTGTTCTGTGTGACTAACCCAACGTCCCATCTGTAATGACAATAAAGTAACCTGCTTTTCTTAACACACTGATATCCACAGACACATCCAAGAGCACACTGCACCAATGAAATGGACTTATCTATAAACTTACTTTGTAGTTCACGCTACATTTTTTTGATAATTTTTTTAATGTTTTGTCATGACTTGAAATCATTTTAAGAACTCCAAGAAACTTGCCGTTCCTTGGCTCTCCTAGAGCAGAAGTTCAACTTGTTGCAATAACAATATAAGAAACGATAAAAAGGCGTATTGTTGATTCAATAAAAAATATTAGTTATGTAAAAATATCATGTTTCGTGATGAGAGAAGCAATGTTACATTCAGAATACAGCAGAAAGCTTTAAAAGTTTTGGACAAGTGTCTTTTTTGAAATGACAGGTTCAATTGTTGAAAACCAATTATCAAAGAATAAATAATAGTTTTGGTGAAACAATTTTAATGAGTCACAAAACAAAAGACTCAGCTGCATATTTTTCACTTTTTTTACTGCTCACAAAATAAAAAAATTCTACTTAAAAGCAGTCTTTTTAACTCGAACAAACTTTGTAATGCCAATATATTCTTGGTTTTTTGGGATTAAATTAACATGTACCCCTAATTTCTTTTTTGCAAGTATAAACTATATTTGCAAAAACAAGTCATTAATAAAGTTGCAACGTTTAAAACATTTTTAAAAGCAGTCTTAGGACAGGAGTCTGTTTCCTCTAGTCCTACTTCATGGTTTCTTCCACAAAGTAGAGGCAACCTATACCCATGGCTGAGATCAAAAACCACAGCATTATACTTACAAGTTGATCCACGAGGGCTGGTGGATCATTCTGGAAAGGTGGATCATCATAGTGAAATTTTTCATTTCGGCTTTTCTTTTGGCCTGATGAAATTTTTCTTTTCGACTATCATCAGCTGAGATGATGAAAGTCTTTCATCAGCTGAGATGATGAAAGTCTTTCATCAGTTGAGATGATGAAAAGTCATCAAGATTAAATGATATCATTTTTATCAAAAATCAAAAAATATAATTTTTATAAACTTATAAACTTATAAATAAATAATCATCAAAATTCCAAATGTTTTTTTTCATACTTTTTATGAGCTGATAAAAAGAAAATCATTTTTGAGTAAGAGAGCGTTATTATTTAACATTTGTTTATAAACAATAAAAATAATTTTAAAAATATCTTACAATTTAGAAATATATAATATAAATAAAATACTTTACACTATTAATATTTACTAATAAACAAACAGTATAAATAAAATACAAATATAAAAAATATCAATAAATTCTACAAATAGCTTTAGTTTTCTTGTAAACCTTCTGAAAAAATCTCTGATTTTTTCAGAAGTCGTATATATGGAATTTTTTTCTAATCGTTGCTTTACTCGTAAAAAAACCTTTTTTTTAAAATATTTGATTTGCGATTCTTCATTTCTAATAACAATGATACTTTTATGACGGTAGTGTATGACTAGTGCCGTGGTTAGTAGGTTGGTAGGCTCCCTCAAAATCTATCATAAGGGCCCAAAATTCTTAACAATTCAATTCAAAAAAAGCTCCTTAAATTTGTAAAAAGACCCCTAAATTTGCTGCCCCGCCCCCCCATTTGGCAGTGTTATCTTAAAAAAGGTTCGCACTAAATAGTTCTGTGTGCACCTAATATAATCCCGCATGCGTGTTTTTGCTTACTATGAAGTTTTTTTAATTTACCACAGTTAGTACTACCCCATACGATATTATAGAAAGAGATAGCACTATGAATAAATAAAAAGTATATTGTTTAAAGAAGCAATGTTAAAAAATGGTTTAGATTTATATAATATAGAAATATTTTTTATTTTCAAAATATTTTATATGAGGCTTCCATGACAAATTTTAGTCTAATATTACTCCTAGAAAATAAGGATTGGTTCCCTTTTAATAAATATTTTATTGATTAGGAGATTGGATGATTTTAAAGGAATGTTGTCAATTTTACATGGTTTGGAGAATAAAAAAAAATTAATTTTTTTTAGATTTAACGAAAATCTATTACTTGTAAACCACTTGTTTATTTTTAATAGTTCTTCATTAAATATATTAAATAGAGCTTTTAAATAGAACTTTAAAATAGAACTTTAAAATAGAACCTTTATGACTTGGTTGGAATAAATGCCTAATAAATAAGTTAATTTATTAAGCTTTGATAAAGGCTTCGGTAAGGGCTCTTGGTTAAGTGAAGGCTAGAAATTGTGTCTCGATAAAAATAGGCTAGAAATTAAAAAATAGAAGGATAGAAATTGTCTCGATAAAAACAGTTATCATAGGTAAATCTTAACTGCACCAAGAAAAGAATACGTTTGTTATAAATGAAATAACTTGCAATTTTATTTCAACTCTTGAGTAATTGAAAGTGTTGTTGAATAAGTTATATGGCCAGAAAAACCATATATA